GTTGCTCCTTTACGCTTAAGGAAGATTAAGGAAAACAGTCTGACACTGTGGTATAATGAGCACACTCTCACCCTAAAGAGAGCAGCCCGGAAAATGGAGTGCAGCTGGAGGAAAACAAAACTAGAGGTATGTCGTATTGCATGATGGGAAAGTACCCTATCCTACAGAAAAGCATTAAAAACTGCTAGATCTGGTTACTTTGTCTCTTTTAGAAAAAAACAAACATATCCCCAGGTATTTATTCAATACAGTGGCTAAATGAAAAATAAAGCATCAACAGGCTTTGACATTTCCCAACAGCACAGCAGTAATGACTTAACTTAACTACTTAAAAATAACTACTTTCCTTCTAAGATCGATACTATTAGAGACAAAATTGTAACCATGCAGCCGTCAACTACAGTATCGCATCAGTGCGATATAGATCCCCTGAGGAACAATTCCACTCATTCTCTACTATAGGAAAAGAAGAATTGTATAAACTTGTTAAATCATCTAAACCAACAACATGTATGTTAGACCCTATTCCATCTAAGCTCCTAAAAGAGGTGCTTCCAGAAGTCATAGATCCTCTTCTGACTATTATTAATTCATCATTGTCATTAGGATATGTCCCAAAAACCTTCAAACTGGCTGTTATTAAGCCGCTCATCAAAAAACCACAACTTGATAAATCATCTAAACCAGTGTTTCCCAACTGGGGTGCCGTGTAAAAAAATCTGTTTTTAATATTTTTAAATTGCTAAAATGTAAAAAAAAAAAAAAACATCTATTATATAATAGCCATTTCTGATGTCGCCAATAATTAGAGATGTACCGAAATTTCAGCTGCCGAAAATTAGGTCACCGCTCAGGTTTCTCTTTCACGTGGTGTGACGCTCTGCATATTATCCCGCTCTATGCGTGGTGGTTGTATCTCTCTATTAGTGCTATTGGATCTTAGCGCTGCGTTCGACACTATTGACCACAACATTCTTTTGAATAGACTAGAAAACTTTGTTGGCATTAGTGGATGTGCATTAGCATGGTTTAAATCATACTTATCTGACCGCCTTCAATTCATAGCAGTGAATGAAGAGGTATCATATTGATCACAAGTGCAGTATGGAGCACGTCCGTTATGATCTCAAAACTCTGGTCATTTGATAATACCTAGAATTAAAAAAATCAACTGCAGGTGGCAGATCCTTTTCCTATTTAGCACCCAAACTCTGGTATAACCTACCTAACATTGTTCGGGAGGCAGACACACTCAATTTACAATTTAAATCTAGATTAAAAACCAATCTCTTTAACCTGGCTTACACATAACATACTAACAAATTTATATAATTCAAATCTGGTAAAGTATTGTTAGGCTGCATTAATTAGGTAAACCGGAACCGGGACACACAATGTACTTGTTACATCATTAGAAGAATGGCATCTATGCTAATATTAGTCTGTTTCTTTCTTATTCCGAGGTCACTGTAGCCACCAGATCCAGTCTGTATCCAGATCAGAGACAGATCCCCAGTGAAGACCTTGTCTCCTAGACGGCCACCGGGACAAGACCACATGAACCAGATGAGTCCTCTGCACAACCTGACCTGTGTTGCAGCATGGAATTAAACCATGCCATGCTGGTTTGGTCTGGCCAGAGGAGAACTGGCCCCCCAACTGAGCCTGGTTTCTCCCAAGGTTTTTCTCCATTTCTGTCACTGATGGAGTTTTGGGTCCTTGCCGCTGTCACCTTTGGCTTGCTTAAGCTGGCCACACACTAGAGGATTTTAAGGCTGATTTTAAGCCAGATTTGCACCCCCGAATGATGGGGGGGGGGGATTCGAGGCTTTTTGCAAGCTATTTTTTTGTCCAAAAAATCCTCTATTGTGTGGTTTCATTACGATTATTTAACTGCTCCCGATCGAGACGGAGCGTACCCGTACTCAAATTCATGGTCTGGCTGCCTCTGACGTGATATCCGCGATAGCCAATGAGAGCAAACAAGCATCACTTACCGGATGTTGCGTGCTTCTATAGATGAAACTTGGAAGCCACAAACATGCCATGAAAGCAGAATATATCACCCAGATTCTTTTAATAATTAGTTTTTCACTGTGAAACAAAAAGTACGGCAAGAGAGCCAGCTGACGACATTGACTGTTCTCCATTTGTTTTTCTTCTGTAATCACGTTTGATCTCGCGAGTCTCCGTGAGATCTCGTGTCACTGTGAATTCATCCCTACAATCGACAAGTGTGTGGTCTCACGGTCTGGTCGAATCATCTAGTGTGCGCATTCAGAGGATTATAAGGCTAAAAATCGGTTGAAACTCTCTTCATGTCTGTGGTCTCCCATGGTTTTAAAATCGGTTAAGATTTGAAAATCGTCTAGTGTGTGGCCAGCTTTAATTGGGGACACTTGACTGATTGCACTATTTTTATATTGGAAGATAGCTGAACTGGATGTTGACATCACTGAACCATCAATGAACTGACTTTAACTGGAAAAATGGCTGTTATCGTCCTCTTGCATTATTGACACACTGTTTTCATTTTTGACATTGTGAAGTTGGTGTGACACAATCTGTATTGTATAAAGCGCTATATAAATAACGGTGACTTGACTCGTCCAATGTGATCATGCAGTCAAGTCAATAATATTGCCAACTGAGCAAGCTAGGTGGTGACAGGGGCAAGGAACACAAACTCCATTAGTGACAGAAATGGAGAAAAAAACAAACAGGGTGAAACCAGACTCATGCTGCATCCTATTGTGCCTACTTATACTACGCCCTTAAAGTATGTACACCTTTGGTAAAGAAAAAATACACACTTCTGAATGTGTAGTAGCAGAGTTTTTGCAAATGGTCAATTGTGTCGTTAACGGACTGCTCTGTCGCATAGTTACACGCACCCTGTGACTGTAAACTAGACTGCAATTTTCCACGCACATATCAGGATTTATAAAAAATAAACTTGGTGTAAATATGTGCGCACTGTACGGACACTCTAAAATGTGCAGTTTTATCACACAGCACAATGCCACAGATGTCGAAAGTTTTGAGGGCGCGTGCAATTGGCATGCTGACTGCAGGAATGTCCACCAGAGCTGTTGCCCATGAATTGAATGTT